AAAGGAAGAGACTTGATCTAGCTTAATGTAAACTCTGATTAGCAAGAAAGTAAGGATCTTCTTTAGACACCTCGTTAGAAGGAGAGTCACTTGGTTTCCATAGAAACCAATCATTCAGTCTCATCTGCGGTGGCTCATAGTATCAGTTCACTCTGACCTTGTCTACTTGACTCTGTGTCCGTAAGTGGTATGTATGCCCCTGTGTATGACAGCACGTATCCTCAGTCATTGTTGCAGTTCAGAGAGAGGCCTCACGTAAATGTAGGATATAAGTCAAATCTTCCCTAAGAGCTACTCTAATGTTTCTTTGCCATATGTTTTGTGGCCCTTAAAGGGGAAAGTGGCAGAATTACAATGGAAACATAAAAACTGTAATGGAATAAAAAAATATATAGTAATAATAATATGTAAGCAGAGTAAATTGCAACAGCACAAAGAAAATAACTTAGAAACCATATTTTAAGGAAATAAAGATTGGTTTGCTTGATTTCTTACTTCCTTCAAGTTCTTGATTTTTAAATGTCAGATTTTTTGTGTGTGTGTAATGCCTTTTTAGTGGATGTATTCTTCTTTGGTACAGTAAAATCACTATAAATAAGATAGGCATATACATAATGCAACCGAGTATTATCATAGCATGTATTTTTTTTAACCATGTATGATTTCGCTTTAATTATTTTGGTTATATTTAGGCTACAAAAATGTATTCTTGTTAACTCTGATATTTAAGGATATTTAAAGGAAAAGTTGAGACTATCTTTTTGCTTACTTTTTTTTTCACAGAGCAGGTGTTTGTACAAAATCCGTACCAGGAGTTCTTCTATAGAGGTTCTTTTCTAAACTTTCTTTCACTCGCAGAATTTGTGAGCTGGAACGCTCTTTCATTATTTGTCTCACTTTCTCAGTGACTGAAATAATTATGTGTGGAGGAGATTCTAAAATAAATGTTGAAAATATCACAGAACTACCAAATATTATAAAAATACTACAAACTCTCAAGTAGATTTAACTTTTCTAAGAATCTTTGTCATTCAGTTAGTTCTCAGATCTCAAAGGGAAGATTATCCAAACCTGTAATTTATTTTATGTGATAATTATCTATCATTTATTTTTGGCTCTGTGGTCTGGTCACATTGGCACTGGGACTGCCTACTTGATACATTTCTGTTCCAGGGAAAAATAAAACCTGCACATATTTTTACCAGTTGGAGTTGTGGGGAGGTCCTACTAGGTGTGAGCTTGTTTTAGTGAGAAGATAGACTGAGCTGTGTTATTTTAAATGTCTATGGTCAAACAGCTAATGACTGTATTTAAAAATATTTAAACATTTCAGTAATATTTAAAATATTATAAAATACTGATCTCAAGTACGAATCACTCTTCGTAACATGAAAGTGGATCAACATTAACATTTAAAACAGGAAATTTAGACTTTCATCTGGAATTTATCTGGCAGTTTTGTTCTGTCTGTGTGTAAGTGCAAAATGCACTAGACTTGTCAGGAAAAAGTTTTAGGGAATTTCAGACTGATTTTAATGGTAAATTGGTCCAAAAGAAAAACCTATAGAAATAGCAGCAGCCCTGGCAGTGGTATCCTAGGTGTTCAGAGGAAAAAAGAGTTCATGTTCTGTTCATACTAGTCAAAAAGCAAGTGACAGTCCCCCTCACATTCATGATGTAAGAGAAGTAGAGTGGCAGTGTGGCCAACTGTGGCCCCTAAGTGTGAGTGTGGTTTACTAATAACCTAACAGTTACAAAACTACAGGTAGATTCATTCAGTCAGGAGAAAAGCTCTGTGTGTATGCACTGCTGTGGGCATTGACACTGAGCCAGGCCCTTTCCAGAGTAAAGACTAGACTGTAAATGCATCGTAAGGAAAGGTCACGCCGGTTAATTTCTTCTACAGATGAATTTGACCCTCCAGCTTTGATTCTTCATTCAGCAACTCAGTCTCCTCATTCAGGTCCCTCATCTGTCACCTCCTGTCGCCTAGGCCTAGAATTATTTAATTTTCATTTCTGTGTATTTCTGATTTTAGGAGAAAAAATAAACTCTTCTTCAGTGGTTTGGATCAAAAGCAGAATCTTTATGCAGCATTGTAGAACTGAGTGTGTGGGTTGAGAGAAAATGAGAACTTGATGAGTGTCTGGAGCCCCAGAAGTGCATTTGAGATGGAAACTTTAGTTCCTATGTTTGTAATAGTCAGCGCTTTTATATTTCACATTTAAAGTGTTGAAAATTAAACCATTCAGCATAAAGTCTCAATGAAGAAGAAACACCAGGGAGGAAGTACTCAGTTCCTCCCTGGATTTGCCTCTGTTTTAAGGAAGGCAGTCAGACAGGAATGGAAGTGAAGTAGATAAGGAGCTTACTTTTTTTATTGTGGCTTAGCTTCAAAATGATTCCATCCCCTATTTCTCTCTGCCTATTGCACTATGCCTAGTGTAGGTGGGTTAGGGAAAGTAAGTGAAGTGGAGTTAGGAACCACAGACAGAAGAATCAATCCAATCACTGCAGAACTTGCATTTCTACCTTAACTAGACTTCACTAGTGGGGAAAAATAGGATTTATCATTGTTGTTTGGAAGGTGAACCCATAAGGATTTAGGTGTTGGCATATATTAATTGTCTTTTCTCATTCAGTTAAAGATTTTCCTGCTTCTTGATGTATGTCAAGTGATTTCTGATTAAAATTTAGACATTTTTGTATCATTATGAGTCTCTAAATCTTACTGAGCCTTTTTGTTTTAACTGGCTTTGTCAGACACCTCTCCAGCCCGGGAAGCAAGGACTGCCTCCTCATTACTGCCACGTGGAGACAAGAATCCAGGTTCCCCATTTGTCCTCTGTCGCTGTCTGGTGGTGGAAATAGTGGGGGAGGTCCTCATTTACTGTTGGGCATTGTGGGATTTGCAGATCCCCACTGGGGCTCCATTGATGCCGCAGTGGGTAGAGGTAGTCTTGTTCGTACTGGACAGTGGTTTGACACCACCCCAACATTGGGGGATTGGAGGAGAAGGGACGCCTTGTTACTGCCAGGAAGGGGTGGAAGTCCAGGCTCCCACATGGTCTCCACTGATACTGTCAAGGATGCTTTACCAGATGGCACGAAGGACCTGGTTTCCTACTTGGTCTTCTGTGGTACCACTCTGCTGGGTTTTGGAGCTCCTTGTTAGAGCTTTGTGAGGGTAGAAGTCTAGTCTCCCCACTCAGGCATGGATAGGCATAGTTTCTTCTGTGGTGTTTGCTTGGAGTAGAGCAGTTATTGTCTAAAAGTTTTGTGTCTTGCTAGGCTGTCCCTTTCCCGCCCCTTTGGCAGAGAGAGCAGGCTTTTGTTGAGGCTGTTTTGGTCTGTGCCCATTGGTGTTGCTGAGTTAGTGGCTGCTCCAGCTACAAGGCTGGTATATCTGAGACAAAAAGAAAACCCAGGGGTCTCACCTCCATGTTGTTTCTTGGGTCCCGAGCTCCCAGGCTGGTCTACTTTCCCTTTACCTTGCAGAGTCTTCTTATGATTGTTTTATATATAACGTCCAGGGTTATAAGCTGAATTTAGCAGAAGGAATAGGATACAGTAAGTCTGCTCCATCTTCCTGGAAGCAGAGGTCCTTGCTATTCAGTTTTGTTTTTTTTTTCCTGCTATTTTATTGTGAAAGTTGATGATGAAAGAATTAACCACCACATATTCACCACCCAGATTCAACCCTTAACATTTTGCTTTATTTTACTTTCTTGCATATTTATCCATCTGTCCATCCATTTATTATTTTTGGTGGACATCAGTACACTTCACCCCTAAACATATCAGCATACATATCATTAATTGGACTTTGCTATTCATGTACTTTTTTTAAAGGTAAATTTTACGTAAGGTGAAATGTACAATATCATGAATAATAATACCATTTGATGAGTTTTATGTAATCCATCCCTTATTGAGATAATTTCCATCACCCTAGGATGTTCTCTTCAAGCCCCTTCTCAGTTAATTCCCACCTCCGTTTCATTCAAAGAAGCAATTACTGTTCTGATTTTCCTTCTTTTTCTTCTTTTTTTTTTTTTGGGTGGATGGCATAAATTCATTTTGCCTCCTTTAGGACCTCATATAAATATATAATCACAGGGTATATTCTCATGCATATACTCTGAGAATTTCAGCATAATGGTTCTGAGATGTATTCATGTCATTGTATGTATAAGGGGCTCTTTTTCATTTTTTATCGCTGAGTAATATGTCATTGCATGACTAATACCATAGTTTATCCATTCTGGACTCCTTCCAGTTTTTTGCCATTAAAATTTGATAGGTGGAGTGATACAGGTCATCACTATCTTCCCTCTGATTTGAACAGAGTACAAGGCAGCAAGGTTTTGGTTCTTTCTTCGGATTAATAAAATGATTGAGGCACATCAAAGACATGTTCTGTCATGTGCAAGACCCACATTTTCCACATATTTCTTCTTAGGGTTAGCTAACGGTTTATTTGAAGCTACAAACTTTTTTGTAATAGAAGGAAAAGATAATTTTAGCTTTGTAAAAATTAGAATTTAGCTCCTTGGCACTGAGTTTTGTCTTGTGAAGGAGAAACCATGGTTTCTACACCATAACTGTAATATTCATTACTGAGAATGTCAAACTAGCCTCTGGAGGAACATCCTATTTCAGGAGCACTTAGAATACTCTCTTTCTGCACAAAAAACTGGTTGCTGCACATGGATTCAGCTGTGTTGCACACACCCTTATGTGTCTGGCCTACCTACTGTGTGTGTCTTTTGCTTCTTTTCTCTTTCCCTAAAATGATTATCTAAAGAGTCTATAATATCTGATTGATTGAGTTACTACTGATTATCAGGGGAGTTCTACCAGCTGGGAAATGGGACAAAATAAACCTTATATGAGATTCCAATTCAAGTGGCATGCATACTATTAACAGAGCAGGAAGAAATAGATAATGTTGTTTTAGACTTTTATTACAGCCTTTCCCTGACTTTTTCTTTATACAGTTGACGGACTGGACAAAGCTTCCATAGCAAACTCAGATGGCCCGACAGCAGGTTCGCAAACCCCTCCCTTCAAGAGAAAGGGGAAACTCTCCACCATTGGTAAAATCTTTAAGCCTTGGAAATGGAGGAAAAAGAAGACCAGCGACAAGTTTAGAGAAACCTCAGCAGGTATGGATACCAACTTTGTTAGAAGATAAATTGTTAAATTTTTCAAAAGGTGAAAAAGTTGTTTCATGAAGCTTTTTTTTTTCCCAGAAAAAAAATGATCCATATTTGAAATGAAATTATTTAAGGATGAATCAAGTTAGAGTTCTGATTTGCCTTCTTGTTTCACTCACTTTGGCTTTCTAATATATTCTTGTTTTGAAATATATACTTGTAAAGTCATATAAAAAACTGGGGGATGGTAGTAAAATGCAAAATGAGAGGTGGAAATGTTACTTGTCAACACTGTAGCTAGAAATATCAATTTACACACACACACACACACACACACACACACAAAGGTCTATTATGTATCTATTCACTTAGTTCCAGCAGCATAATCCTGTTTGAAAATTTTAAAAAATTGTCTTATTTGAATGTGGTTGTTCTGTGGGCAAAATTTAAATGGGACACTTGAAAGACAAGTGTTGCTACATCTATTGTGCAATTTTAAATTTCCATCATGTTATTAAGACAAATAAATGTTCTCTGTCCTAGGAGACTCCTCATTCTCTTGGGGTGAACATTTTAATTGTTATTTTGTTTTGTGGATTTGTTAAATCACATTAAAAATTACATTATATCACATCATGAGGCAACATATGTAAACTTAACCAGGACAAGGATGTGATAGACATCTTATGCTTGCCTTGTGAAGATAGAAGAGACGTCCATCCAGACTTTTCAGCATTGGGTATTCGTCCCATTATCTTTAACTATTTTGGCTTGGCAACATCTTTTGCTCTTATTTTGCTAAACTCAATATAATTATGTTTTTAGGACTCCAAATTCAGATCAATTCAGCAGGTATTTAGTGAGCATCTATCCTGTCTTAGAAAACATGCCAAATTCTGGAAATACAAACGTGAATAACTGATTCCTTCCCTTTCTCCCAGTGTAAAAGGAACAAACAAACAGGCAAAAAACCAATTCCATGTCATATAGTAACTACTGTTATACCTGGAACACTGAATGCCATGATAGGACACAGCGGGGGCATCGAAGCAAGACTGGAGAGCGGGAGATTCAGGGATGGCTTTCTGAAGCAGATGATATAAAGAAAAAGCAATCATTTTCCTCAAAATGTGGAGATTCATGTCAGTCAGAATTCCTTTAACCTTAAACCAATGGCTGGTCACTTAAATGTCTGGGACAGCACCCCAACATCTATTTATAACTATGCCATAAAAAAATAAAAAGAATTACATTACTTAGTATCTTTCATATGATAGTATCTTTCATATGACTCATGGAGGAAGTTGGTTTTAAATTTCAAGGTAGAATTAAGCCTGATTTAAACAAGTATCCAGTCTCAGTGGTATTTTGTTTAAGGAAGAAAGGCATTTATCTCTTCTCCATGCTTATTGTCCAAAACAATCCCGTCACCAAAATTTCTCATTACATTGCAGTCTTATACTGACAGTGTATGTACAGGATTGCAGAACATATCTTAATGGTCTGTGCTGAGATAAGAACTGGCCTCTAGTTCTAGAGCTGTGAAAATAATATCACAAACAGCATGAGGGTATGGCATGGGGACAACAAAGCTTCCTAGAGAAAATTGTCTCTGATGCATTTGCAGCTATGTAATTTTTTTGGCTATTTAACATTTAAAAAGAAATAATGATATTACATCCAAAATTTGTTTCAAAATCATCCTGGAGGAGGGGTGAATATAAATGAAAGAAGACTGGCCATGAGTTGGTAATTATTTAAGCTGGGTGATGGGTATATGGGGTTTATTATTGTCATCTCTCTACTTGTAGATGTTGGAAAATTTCCATAATAAAAACATACAAAATGAATAGGGGAAATAACGATAGTTTGGTTATTGAATCCTCTTTAGTTCCTAATTGACTTTGTGGGTTAGGAGGCTGTGGGAAGTGGTGGGCAGAGAGCTGTGCTGATGGAGGACTCCTAGGTTCCAGGAGTATCCTTGCCACCAAGGTGCCTTGTGACCTTGAGCAAGTCAGGTCAGAGTTGAATGAGTCAAATTCTAACGTGCTTTCAGTTCCAGATTCTGTTGTTGGTCCTTGACTCCTTCCAACCCCTGGCTGGGCATCTTGTTGTCCCTTGTTCTCCATTCATGAGTGGAACCACACTGGCCTCTCACTCACGTTTCCCTAAACATTGGGAGAATCTGGCTCTTGACAGTACTGTGGCTACCCAAGGTGGGAGTAGGGCTCCGGACAGTAGCATTAAGAAGATAGGAAGAGAGGATGGAAGTCTCTTCAGTTGTGTCTCTTGCCCTTTACCTGAACCTAGGCTGCTAACTTCTCTCTCCCTAAGGTAGCAAAGACAGATGCAAAGGAATTTCCCTTCATCTGTCCCAACCATCTCTTTTAAATTATTTTAACAGTAAGTAGGACTGCTGTAACATATTTCTTCCAACACTGAATATTTAAGAAAAGGAATTTTAAACTGCATCAATTGTTATTTTATGTTATCCCATATTTAAGGAGGATAGCCTCACCGTCTTAGGATTCTCTGTTTCCTTTTCAAATCAACACAGGATTTTATATAAGTTTAGGTCCAGGAAGTTATTTGTGGATATTATATCCCTAGTTCCTAAAGACGACCAAACTATATTAAAAATCTGAAAAAGTTGAAATGCCTCATAGTTTTTGTTTTTTTGCATGAAAATTGTGACATAATAGATGAAAACAAGCCAGATGGATGTGCTAACAAGTCTTTTTTAATTTGTCTGTTACATTTACTTTCATCATTTCTTTTTAAACCCCTTTATTACCAATGTTTTACTTGAATTTGATAAAATGTTATCAAATGCTCCATTATGATATTTTTTTACTGTCATCTTACATGTATGTGTATTTTAAGGCTTAAGTTTCTGCTGTGCTTTGTGGAATGTATACCAGTAAGGCCTAAAATAAAGGGAAGCATAACATGGTTTATCATACATTTCTTTTCACATTGAGGAAAGATGTCATATCTGGATGAAAATTGATGCATTTGGAAATGACCAAGAGAAAGATGTTTTCTTCTTTAATAAACTGTCTCAAACAGTGAAATCTAGCTGTTTGGGCTTGACCAAGGCCATGTGCAGTCGGCAAACTGTAAAAGACATGCTAGGGAAGACCCACGCTACCTTGGAATAAGAAAGAAGAGTATCCTCCAATAAAAGTAGTTCTTTGTCTTCCCTTCTTCTAAACTCCTGGCTTTATTGTCACATGGGGATGAATCTTACTGTGTTCTGCTATACAGTGATTAATGCCACTTTTCCTAATCTGGGTTTCTGTTGTAGGAATTTTTAATTGGTGGAATATAGGGTGCAACCCTGACTTATTAATGCCATTGTAAGGAATGCCATTGTAATCACACAATTCCTCTGGTGGTGGTAGTTAGGAAGGGTCCTTGGCCTGCTGTGATGGTGCTTGGGTCAGCTATACGGTGGAAGCTGTTTTGTCCTCTAAGGCAGACTGGGCCTGGGCCCCAACTTCAAGTTGTCTGACCTTGTTTTAAAGCAGAAAGTTACCTGTCTCTTCTACCCTGTTTAGGCTGGTCCATGGGCTGTTGGATTCTAGGGCAGGACAAGTCCTCTTTCCCATTTACTCTCCTAGTGCTTCTTTTCATCTCCTGAGTGAGAGGACCCTTTTTTGGTCCCACCTAAGTTCTAGCTGTGTCCCTTCCCTGTCTTTACTACTCAGGATATCATTTGCACATTCTTTCTGCATAATCATTCCTATTTTGGGGGGTTGTGCTGGTGGGAGCTGAGGTTCCCCTGGATCTCTAAGTACGCTTTCATCTCAAAGCTAAAATACAAAACTCCCATCCAAACATAGTTGTTCCTCTGACTTCTGCATAGTCTGTTACCATCAAGACCAAACGTCGTGAGAATCCAGCCTGTGTTCCATTTCCACCCACACTCCCATTCCTTTCCCCCTGCATCCAGCACTCCACTGAGGCTGCTCCCAGCCTCCTAATCTTGGAATTGAGTGTTACTCTCTCAGTTCATCCATTTGAACCGCTTCAACATTTGCCATTACTGATTAGTCTTTCCTTGATTTACAAGATCTTCCGTGGTTTACAGAAGCTGTCATTATCTTGGGTACCTTTGCCTTTTCTCTCTCTTGCCCCTCTCTTCCCCTTCTCATCTCCCCTAAACCTTTGAGAGAGGTTTGCATCATCACACTCTCGCTTCTCAGTACCTACATCCCAAACCCACGTTCAGGCCGTGCCTGAGGACAGCATGTTAACTCAAAATCCACTCATATGGTCCACGTATGTCAACACTGAAAATGTGATGCTGCCAGGCACCATCCCGGAGCCAGGACCCTGCAGGCAGTAAGCGAACAAGGCTCTTTCCTCATGGACCTTTCATTCTAGAGAGGTAAGGTACAGATAAATGCTCTGAATGAACACAGAAGCTGAGCTAAGAGAGAGTGGAAAAGGGCTATGTGGAATGTACAGATAAGTTCTATACCCAAACCTCCCTTGCCAACCCCAGCTATCCTGGTTTGCAGGCAGGACTTTGGCATCCAGACTTGAAACCATGGACGTCTTTGACTCTCCCTTGACATTTTTTTTTTT